CCACAAAAGGAATCAAATCAGAGAAGGCAGCCTACGTTACGATATTTTCTTAGACATTCCAGTAGTCATATTAAGAAGAATGTCTTTCAGATTGTTGTGCCAGATATCCAAATTCAATCCTTAGATAACGTATTATAAATGTTGTAAATATTTTACTTGTTTTTGTTTACTACCTCTAGTAAAGGAAAAAAATAATGCATTTTATTATAAGAATGAAAAAAAAAAAAAAAAAAAAGAAAAGAAAAATATACAACAACAATAACAACAACTATCAATAGTAAAAACAAACTTGAAAAGGAAAAAAATTAAATAGCCATGAACGTCACGAGAACGTCACATACGTACATATGTAAATGTAAATCTTACACTCTGGCCTTCTTGTCGTCTGACGCCGCCGCCGCTCTTCGTTAAGTGGCAAGGTGAAGGGCGGATAGTGCAGCACTATACTATACATGCTTGCATATGGCTTGTGTAAGTTTTATAAAATAAACTGTTGTTTACAGTCATACCCCGATGATGTGAATAATATTTAAATTAATAGTTTAAGCAAAAAAAAAAAAAAAAAAAAAAAAAAAAAAAAAAAGGCAAAAAATAGAAATAAATTATTAGAATAAAAAATATAAAGTAATAAGAAAAAAATTTATAAAAATTGTAAACAGCGAAATTACAAGTTTTACTAATGCATTTCACGAGTCAACATTATATGTATGCGCGCTTGTTTTTTAAATATTTATTAAATAAATAAAAAAAAACAAAAAAAAAAAGCAAATTATTAATACACAACGGAAACAACAAAAGCGAAGACCTGTTGAAAAATTAATCTCCTTTCAAGAAAAACAAAAAAAAAAAAAAACTAAAAAAATTCAAAATACAATGTCTTTAGGAATCGAACAATTTAAATCATATGGTCATCAACTCATATATAGAATAGTTTAATTTTATTTATTTGCTAAATTTTCTTTTGTCTTAATGAAAACTTTTCAAATTGTACGCGTAGTAAGTGTAGCATGCCGCAAGTCAGCTTAATATGCGGTATTGGTTGAAACGTAAGCGTTACAGGTGGTGTCCATAATAAGCACAATGTAAAGCGTATATATGTTAAATATATATACCCTACTACACTGGTTATGCAGAATATTTTATATTTGTTTTTATAAGGCTAACATTCTACGTAATCGTAACGTACTTGTCTGGAAAATCATATGTAGCCGTAATGTAGTATTTATATGCAAAAGGATGTATAAGCGTAATATGCATTATAAGTGTAATATGCCACTCATATTAAAGATATATTGTCTACACGCAAAATTTTATGCAAATGTAACTTGTTGTACGAACGTAACGTAATGCATATTTGTAAAACGGTATATACCCGTAACATGCATTATAAGCATAATATATAGGTTATGTTGAAAATGCTACGCAAGCGTAACAAGTTGCATTGGTGTAATATTTTATAAGCGCCATGCGTAGTATTCTGCATACATATAAAATGTTATGCAAGTGTAATACGCTGTGTAAGCGTAATAAAAAAACCATATTTAAGCGTAATATGCTGAATAAGCGTAGCAGACTGCATAAATGCAATATGCTTCGTCGTTCACGCTAATTAAGCACAACACGCTGCATAAGCGTAACACGTTACATTAATGTAATACATAGAATAAATGTAACATGCCACGTAAGCATAAGGTGCAATACAAGCACACTATGCTGTCGTGATATCCCGACTCACGGTGCCCGTTGATATTCGGGTTAATCGTGCGTAACCGACGTTCTCCAGAGAGTTAGACAATCACTGTAGACTAGGGACCTCAACTACTGCTGGAGTACCTGATTTATTTAAGGATTATGATCAATAAACCCGGGACGGTATTGAGGCGCTTTAGGAATGATGGAAACCACAGCCACCACGATAATCCCCGAAAGGCCGTACTCACCAGTCAGGGCTCGCTAGAAAAACTACAATGTGACCCCACTGCCCACGTTGAAGGCCTGCAACCTTAAAGAAGAGATATACGATTAGATAATACATCATGTTTTGTAAATAAAATGGGAATGGAGAATTTAGCCTATTGAGGAAACGAGATATTAACCCTTGAAGTTTGCATTATATAATTGCTTTTTATCTTTTTGTGAATCCATTCAATGATGAAAGTTAAAGTTGTCTGGTTGACGAAAAAAGTGATTCATGTCTAGGCAGAGAGATAAGATTATATATAAAATTAGTTCAAATTGTTGCAAGTCACTCTAAATGGATTGAACGATTCGTAGTCTGATCTCGATTGAACAAGTTTGATGAGCCGAAAGTTGCTGGATGGACGGACGGGAAGATTGAAATTAATTTCATTTAAAAGAGCTGTTGAGCCTAAAGCGTCATTTATCAGCTTGACTAAAAAGCTGATGCCTAAGATGAACTCACCAGTTTCGCCAGTGGAGGTAAAGGTATATTAGCAGTAATCTAAATAAAGCTTGCAGCTAGCAGGTCCCACAACAGAACCTTTATGTAAAAAGTAAGAATTCTTTTTAATTTGATTCAATAGCTTTGACGTTCGTTTAGCTAATCGAGCAAAAGTAACTTTGTATTTTTTGAGAATTGTTACAAAACAAACCAATAAACTTAATATGTTTACAGTCCTTAGTAGAAAGAAAAACATTGTGTTTTTTTTTGTTTTTGCTTTTCATTAGTAAAAAGTAAGAAAAGTAAAAACAAATAACGAGAATACTAAACGTAGCAGAAGGACATACTAAAACAAAAGGTAGAATAACGTTTAGAAGCGATTACCAAACGTATCAAAGCATTCATCCGCCTGTAGACCTACGCCATTGATATACTTACTTAAAAAGCTAGTCTGTATTTTGTTGACCACTTGTTGAATTGAAAAAGCGTCTATGAATTTGGTCACATCGGAGAGCAATTGAAAAAGCAAATCTGTATTTGTTGACAATTGAGAAAATATTGAGACAGCGTTGACAAGCGCCATTGGGAAATTGAAAATTGAAGCATTGTCTGCTTATAACAGCTAAAGGTGGTAATTTCTTTGATAAAAATCACAATAACGATCTCAAGTTGATAGTAGAAAGATTGGCATCAAATATTTTCGCCTTCTCGGTAGTCAATTATGAAAAGGCCGGCAATTCTTTTCACTTGTTTGTTATTATACGTCGAGTATATTCAAATATTGACTAATGATAAGTAAAATTTATATGTAATTCTCCTTGCATCCAATTATTGGGGGATGGGGCGATATATGTTTCAAGAATGATGTTTCAAATTGGGAGATGTAGAAAATTACAAAATATTAACAGTTTTTCATGTATATATTTAAGGTTCTGTACGTCGTTCCGTCGAATGAAATAAAATTCAACAAATTGACGTAAAAAATATTTGTTCCTATTTATGCTATTCTCAATCCGACAAAATTTAATTACTCTCAATCTGTATTAGTATTAGTTAGAGTATTAGTTTTAGTTTAGAGCTTTTTTGTGTCTGCTTTTGATGAAATCCAGTGAAATCGGTCTAAGTAGGAGAGCTGGCATATAAAAGGCACACAAAATATAGCTTATAAACTATGTCTTTGGCGTGTATTTGTATATCTTACGAAAACGAAAGTAAACCTACGCTCTTTTGTTGAATAAAAATGTACACAAAACTGGATTTTTTCAAATAAATTTCAGTATATTTTCAATTTACTTTTTACTGCTTTACCAATTCAAAGCATTTGTTGGTCAGAACTTTCGATATATATTTTTGTTATTCTCCATCTCTCTCCCTATATTTTATTATTTCCATATACATCTCTTTAAGTTTCAAAGCTTAATGCCGCCATGTATCGCGTTTATTTAATGAAAACATACGAGAATTTCAAATACATCCGAAAGTAAAGAGATTCGTATTTACTCTCTTTGTCTCTTTAAGAATTATTGCATTGTAGAGAAAAAGAGCAATATTTCGTTTGCATTAAGTTTACATATTTCTCGGAGAATAATAATTTTTATTCAATGTTACACAAGTGGCGTAAAATAATGTAAAGCATATCAAAAAATTTACCTACTCATACGTAAATAAACATGACTCCCAAAAAAAAAAAAGAGAAAAAAAACACACGCACACACTACTAGTTCAGCACTAGCACCCTGAACGAGGAAAAGAGAAAGATATCAAAGAAAAAAAAAGAAGCTTTCTTGACACTCATGCCCTATTTCTTGAACAGAGAGTGAGAGTAAACTAGATTTGTTAGTCGCATTAACATAGCGGTGGCAGAAGCAGCCGCAGTAGCCGCGGTAACAGTAAGAGTAAAAACAAAAAAAAAAAGACTCATTCATACGGAATAAAGAAAAGAAACGTCGAACAATCGCACAATCACAATAACAATAATAATAAATATAACAGACTAGAAATTTAATAATAAAAAGCAAAAGCAAATTTTGCGGTTTTCTACTATTGTATGTTGGGACGTATGAGCATTGTAAAAATTTTTATCAAACGGTCAAGAACGTTTTTGTTTTACGAGCGCTTTATTAAAAGAAAAGAAATCAAAAAATAAATAAATTCACCCTACACACATGACGGAAACATTTTTAAAGAAATCGAAAAGATGCTAAATATTTTAAATTAAATAAAACTAAACAAATCAAAAAAGAAATGTTTTTAAATGATGAGGTGACTAAAGGAAAAATAAAAAAATAACTATTTTTATAAAAAAACAAAAACTGAGATAAAAACAGAAATCAGTCTTGACTTTATAAATAGTTTACAATGAAAAATGAAAAAATCTTTGGAAAAACATAAGCTCGAGCAAATTATTTCATTAAATATTTAATCGACGTATTTTTTTTTTTTTAGTAAATGATTTTGAAATCTGAAAAGTATTAAAAAAATAGATAAATAAATAAATAAGAACAATTTAAAAAAATAATAAATAAATAAATAAAAAAATGTTTGTATAATATAAAAATAAATAAAAATTCAAAGAAAAGAAAAAAAATCAAGTTAATATAAAAAAATATTTAAATAATAATTTAATTAACTAACAAATAATAAAGTATTGTAATAACAATTAAATTAATATTTAACCTTCGGATGAAACAGAATTAATGAATTAAAGAGCACGACTTTAAACAATCGGTAATTTTGATTTACACTTTTATCTATTTTTTACTTACATATCTAATTAATTGTAATCGTTTTTCATTTACTATAATTAGTATAATTATCCAAAGTTAAATAAGTTCATAAGTTCGTAGAACTAAAAAAAATTTCCTTTAAAAAAATACGGGTTAAAGTAGTAGTACCTGGCATGGACTACATTTGAAGTCGAATAGATGCAAATAAGGAAAGTTCTTACAAAACTGAAATAAGAACTACCAATAAGCTTACAAAAAAAGCATTGCTCCAAGACTTAGTAAGAAACTTCTCTGTTCTCTGAAGGTATAGAAGCTTTTCGTAGTTATAGTAAATCTAACATTTGCATTTCGTTGAGGTTATGTCGCGCGTTGTTTGTTCAAGTAAGAAAAAATTCCAATCAGAGCAAGCGAAAAAGGTTTATTTTCCTTGCTAGAGTTTCGTGGACCAATTTTCTTTTAAAGTCTTGTCTTCGAACCGCCAAGTCTATTTATTTTCTTATTATGCCAATAAAACTCGTCTCTAACTCAAATAAAGGGAATGAAATGGAGATAAGAATGATATTGAGTTTGTCCAAATGTATATAAAACCCGGAAGAGCTTGATATAGACGGACCTTTTATTATACCGACAGATTCAGAATCACTTTCTGCTCTGATCTGAAGCGTGCCTATCCAGTTGCAATTTTTGAGATATTTGGCCCTAAGCCGAACGCTATTGCAGAGAGTTCTGGTCAGACTACTTTTTCGACAACTTCCCGCTTAGCACCTACATTGCAAGGTCGTTATATGAATAACTGTATGCGCGATGACCGTGCTCCACTATAATGTTTTTACTTTTTATTGATTTAAAAATGTATATAAAAATGGAAAAAAAAAATCAAAGCAAATCGAAATTTGTCTTAAAGTGACCCTTGCTGGATATCTGTCGCATATAAGAAATTTTCTTCTTCTTTTTCAAGTCACTAATGCCTGTCAAATAAAATTATCGATAGTCTTAAGACATTTACTTTATGCTTTGTTGTCAAATTTTTTGATCGATACTTATAGTAGATTGTTCGTTATTAATAAAAAAAATACTTTTTAAATTTTCGATAATTTTTTCAACGCGTTTAGTGGTATAAACGTACGAAAGGACGGCTGAAAGAATGGACTGATAGACGAAAAGCTGAGTGAACGAATCCATTGGTAGACGGACGCATAGACGGACGATTGACGAATAGACTAATTGGATTGGGCACCGTACCAGCAACCGCACTTTACACTCACAATAGCACGCAGTAGCTTTGAGTAGCCAGTAATCGATATAAAAAATTCCACAATTACTCTGCGAAAACTTTTTAAAAGTCTTTTAGAAACGGTTTATTTTTTTAGATGCCCTGAGCGAAATTTTAGACGTGAATTCTGACTGTCGTGTCTCAATCGGTTCTGGCGAATGTAAATCCCTTAAGATCTTAACAAATTTTGAACTCAATCTTAGTTGGTTTATAAGAGATATAAAACAGCTTTGTGGGGACGCCGGCGTAGGGTTATTTCAACGGACATAATGCATTTGGCGAAATAACGGCAGAATAAATATAAAAGAAAGTGAAAATCTGACGGGTTATGATCGCGTTGAAACCTTATCTTTGATAGACTGTTTTCACTTACACGCAGAAATGGACAGTGAGCTCCTTCTGCCGGATATGACCCTTCGGAGAGTACCTAGGTGACTGTAATAAACACAAGAAGCCAGGAGCTATAAATGATGAAGCGCGCAAGATAAGCATCGAGCATTATCTAGAGAGCGCTTAGCCGTCATAAACTTCGGGCGAACCTATTATGGGTATTGTCGTATTCAATGAAGGGCGCCGGTTCATGCTCAAATAATTCCCATACGTCGCCGGACTAGGTTAAGGCTGGTATTTTACAATGCTATTACTTATTGGCCCCGCGAAGGACTAATCTGTACCATTGCTGTTTCAAGCATTTACATGGGTTGAATAAGTCATCCGATTAGTTTTGGTATAAAATAATCCAGTTTAAGGCGGTAAGTTTACAATTTCAATCTAGTTTTTTTTTGAAGACCTAAAGGATTTTGAAAAAATTAAGAGGACAGACGGTCTGACGGAAGAGCATACTGACGACTTCCTGTATATAAAACTAGATTTAAATTTTCAATGACTTATAGGATATCGAAATAAAAAAAACGGCTAGATGCACAGTTGGATGGCCATAGTGGTAATGAAATCCGGTTTTTTCCGATATTAGATTTTCTCGAATTGCACATAAGGCACAGGAAAGTGTTTAAAAAGTAATACTTATAGCGTCTTTCATTTAACGTATTACAAATGCTTGAAAAGAATTAATTTATTTTCAATTTTTAGTGGACAAAAACACAAAGACACAAACAAGTTATAAATGAAGTAAAAAAAAAAAAATACATAGGCGATTCTCTACAACTAAAATCTTGTTAAGCAGTGTCTTTGCATAAGTAATTTCGGAATTGTTATGAATTGAATTCAATAACAGAATACAACAGGCAAAACAGCAACAACAGCAACAATAACAACAATACCAAGAGCAGCAGCAGCAGCAGCAATAGCAGCCAAGACATTGATATTCAAAATAAAATTCCACAAGTTACAGTAAATTAAATGAATGCATATATATGCCTGCATATGTATCCAAGAATATGTATGCGAACGAGCCTTTAGGTATCAAACTTAATTTGTTTTTTTTTTTTTTTTTGAACAATTCTTTAGAAAAAAAGGTAAACCACATAAGATTCATTTGTAAAGTAAAGGCGGTCTTCAAAAAAAAAAAAAAAAAAAAAAAACGCGGGTTTTTTTCGTGTTTCTTCCCTCATTTTCTCTTCTTTCCTACTTTCCTTTCTTCTGTGGCAATCAACATTTTGAAAGTTCCGTCGTACAATAGAAATGAATATGAGAAAAATGAAAGCGTTGTTGTTTACACTCAATAACGGAGCGAAAAAGAACGTAAAGATATCATACCGTTCATCAGACACTGTTTGCAGCATCTTGAAGACACTTTAATTAAGCGAAGCTTTCAAGTTAATTTGGTTATGTCAGTCTGTACACGCATTAATTCCACTGGACTTCTTAAACTGAGAGAACATGAGAGAACGGAAGCTTGGTTCGTATGAAAGCAGCGAATGTTACCAGTTTGAAAAATCGAATCTTTAACTGGAGCTCGGCCTATGTACTTTCGTAATGGATTGTAACAGTGCCCCATTACATCCCAAGGGATTTTAGTTCGAGAAATTGCAAGCCAAAGAAATGAAACTTACCGAACTTGCCCATTGGACTTGAGTAGGCCAAACGTTACGTCAAATCCGAGAAAAGATCGCATTATCAAAGTCCAGAATCAAAACTTGGCTCTCCTAAGGCATTTTGAAAAGTTCCAAATAAAGAAAACAACTAAAATCAAGAGTTTAGCAAATAAGAAATGCGATTCGATTATCAAGCCAGCATACCGCGGCTACAGAACCATGCTTTAATTACGATCCTCTTGTGTCCGAACTATAGTAAGTGCTTCACCGCTACAAGCATAATACATATCAATGGGGCATATAATCCCCAGCCTACAGTTAAAACCTATTGCTCACTCCCTATTTCATTCTAGCGATCGCTATGTATAGGGAATGTATTCTGAGGCACATGTCATACGTACAATAATGCTGAAGCAGTCCGTTTAGCCATAGAGTCAGCGGATCGGAATTTGACAGAAATGTTCTCGTGATCGAGTGGATCACAAAGCCCTTTAATTGGAATTTTACGCTTCTTTTCGTGTTCTGGAGATGCTGATACTGTTAGTGGATTTCGCAAGATCGTAACATAGGATAACAACGTTGCTCTACTAGTAGTAATTAGGCTTTAAAAAAATTACTTCAAAACCATGAGACGGTCTATTAATATCCTTTGTTAGAAATATAATGAAGGGTTTCTGATGTCTTTGAGAATATGTAGCAATGTCATTGAATCAAGCGCTGCTTATGGGGAAGCATTTTAATATTCTCAATCACTCACCTGGATTGGAATGTCTCCCAAGCATGCAAAGTTGGTCATGATTACAGAAAAGTGAAGAAAGGAAGAAAGTGATAGAGGGTGGCCACAACCTGGTGAATGTGTGTCCAGCCGGTAAGTGTTATGCCTCTATGCCGGTTGAACACTTACTTCCGCTATGCCCATCCAGGTCATCAAACCGCACTGAGACTGAAAAACTGATACTTGATAGTTGAGACTCTTATCTATTCAGCTGCATCACAGACAACTGAAGCGTTTTATATTCGCCTTTGTCAGAAGTTTGCTCTATCACATAGAGAGAGAGAGAGAGACTATGCTCGGTTGAATACCAATTTTACGTAGGCAAGTTGAATTTGGAGACAGCAATGCAGCCAATTACTTCAACTGATGGGACCTGAACCGCCTTGTACTTGGTCCTTGAAATTAAACTTGACTCTTTTCTTCATGAAGTTGAAATATTAAAAGGCAGTGTTGCAATATCTACGGACATAACCTCAAAAAAAGTAAATGCTACAAATTTTACTATATAGGTGCTGTTGACACAACGAAGCTCTGCTTTATTTTCAGGTCTGCGAATAAAAGTAGTTCACGTGCAAAGCAATGTAATGCGAACACAATAAAGCCGTGGCTTGCCGTTTACACTGATCTCCACATGTTTAACAAGAGATGAATAGCTAATGATCGATCTGATGATCGTTAGTAGATATATTCCACAGATGATTGGATTTGCGGGAATCAAAAAATAAAGTTTCCCTAATACACCTAACTCATATAGGGAATTACTAAACATTTTTTCTCTTGTTTGTTTTGGTACCCTATACCACTTCGGTAGTATATTTTGGATGATGTCCAAAATATCACATGACGTAATCTAAATTTAGCAAACTTCATTTGTTTACCCAAAAATTTTACTATTTTCTAATTTCCGTCATAAAAAAACTGGAAATTGGACTTTCTTCTCGTATAAAAACTTACTTTCT